AAACTCCGGCGTTAACCTATGCCGCCATCTTGCGTAACTAGCTAGTTATTAATATTAGTAATAGAAGACAGCAAAGGCCAGGCATTATAAGCATGGTCATCTGGGCAGCTTCACCAGGAAGTTGTAGGCTTCATACTCTCCAGGGAACTACCAGTCCTTTCCCTGCAAATCACTGGAGTAAGGGGTCCAAGGAGGAAGAGGGATGCATGCACAGTGATGCTGGGATGATGTAGCAAAGGTGCCCATCAGTCTAATCTGGGAACAAGGATGACTGGCTAGGGGGTGAAGCCACCCACTTACAAGCACACAAAATCTTGGAAGGGTAAAATCCCCCCAAAGAAGTCTCTGTCTTGCTGCGCGTGCTCCTGCTTTTCACTTGCTCTGTGACCTGTGCTAGCTCACCATGTGCCCCTAGAAGCAGTTGCCTGGCTCATGGCATGTGGACCTCACATGCAACAGACTGCAGCTGGTAACACAGCTAACCTCGTCAGATGCTGGACTGGATTGGACCTTAATATGGTGTAGAAACACTGGGCAATGGCTTTGATTCTAGCTCTGAAGATAAAAATGGGACATTTTCCATGGCAAGATGGAGGGAGATGGGACTTGTAGGGGAACTCCCTTAATGTTACCTCAGCAACAAAGCTTTCTACAATACCTTATCCTCCACGGGGACCTCAGTATATTCTTATTCCTGCAGCATCCCAAAAGCTCCATTCCCACCAGCAACAGGTGGGGACAGATAGCACCTCACCAATAACAGTATCATCAGACATGAGGTGAGGCTCATTTTCCAACTCCACAGAGAAAAGTATTGGAGATCTTTATTAAGACATGTAAATGAAGATTTGCATAAATTAGATGGGGAGACTGATCTGAAAAATGTTCTTACCAAGTTAATTTATAAGCATGATGCAATCCTAACCCAAATCTCACTTGAAATTTTTGGAAATATGAAAAAATCTAAACTTCATCAAGAATTTGTGGGACTACCAAGATTTTTAAAAGAAATTATCAAAGGCAACTTGCTTAATTAGTAAAATGCATTATCAAGTGATTAAAATTAGTATCTATAATTAATATGTAGTTAAAAGTGTTATGTTGTTGGAAGAATGGCAAATTTATTGGACAAAATAGATGTGTGGAGATAGAGGCATAAGTAAAGGAAAGAACCAAAAACTATGGATGGGAATGAATTAACCAATAAGTGGTGTTGGGAAAATTATATGGGGGAGGGAATCATACTAGATCCTTAAGTCACATTTTATACCCAAATAACTTCCAAGTGAATTAAAGAGAAATAGAAAGAAAAGCATAAAATTTAATGAGATGAATATTTAATCTTGGAATGCAAAGGACTTTTTAAACATAAAAAAGGCTTGACAACATACAAATGTACAACTAAAATGTCAAAAATATTACATGCAAAATTAAAAGACAACTAGCAAAATAGGAAAATATTGAGGCACTATTACTATGTTGTAAAAAATATTTAATATTGTTTACTAAATGATGTGTTTGACTAAACGTTACTCATCTGAAATCACCAGGGAAAAACAAAACCAGTAATTTTAGATATATATATATATAGAAAAAGGTAATACTAACACCTTATTAAAAATAAATGGTTTTGATTGTCCATTCATAATTTAGAATAATTTTATTTTCATTATACTTAAAGAAGTTAAAATACATAGAAATAGGCTCATGTATTTTTTCATTTCTAGAAAATTAAATTCCTTATGATCAGAAGTGGTTATTCTATTTTATATTCTTCAGCACAGATTCTCTGTGAATAGCCAGTAGTTGCTGATATTACTTAAAAAAAAAGCAACTTGTAAAAATAATGTCATTCACTTGACGTGGAAAATAAACCACCATAGAATAAACTTGATATAACTGAAGATGTTTTTTTTCTAAATACTTTGCTTTAAATACCAATTTAAAAAAATCTGGTGAGAAAGTATGAATAGTGGCAAAAAATGATAAATGGGTACATTCAATGAGAATTTTTATTTCAATTATCCACAAAACAATATAATACTTTATAAAAATATTAAGTTTTAGGCTACCATTATTTATTTTAAAAAGTGTTTGTGCTATAAGTTGTTTTTGCCAACTTTTTTTGGGGGGGATGGGTTAAAAGTTCCACAATAAGATATTGAAAGTGAAAAGGTGTTGGGAGAAAATCCTCAAATATACAAAGCTGGGTATTTTTCTTGGCAAGTTAAAAATACATAACCATTTAAACTGAATACACAGTGAGTTAGTGTTATTTCCTTACTATACAACTGATATTAGAAGGAACAGCTCCATTTAGTCAAAACCAAAGGAATACCATCATCTTTTCCTGGCTTATTTTTCTGAACAGAATTAGTGCATAAACATATAATTTTATTACCCTTTTTTAAATGCTAGAAAAATTATACCATAGTTCACATGAGCCCTTTAAAAATCTGATGTCACAGGTTGCAGACATTAAGAGTAAAGGTGACTTGATGGCAGTCTTCACAGGAAGATCCTCTTGGAAGAGGGATTCAATGCTAAGCAGGTTACGTAAACATAAGAAACCACCACAATTTTTAGTACCAGAACTGTTGCCAACTTGCATGAAGGTCATCTGTCGCATTTTAAAATGGTTTGAATTTCCACATAGATACCATGGCACAGAATGTTATACACTTAATGATCAGGTAAGTGATGGTAGTTAAAAACTATTCCTAAAATATGGGACCTGCTATATTGCTTTATTTAGAGTGTGACTATAAAAGAGTATTTCAGAACATAAATACCAGACTTTTACTTTGTCAGATTCAGTTCCTTTGCTAGATCCTTAGGACAATAATGCTGCTATTCAAATTCATATTTTGGAATTTCTAAGTTAGTTATAAAAATCAGTCTTATTTTGTATATTTTACTTCTGTATTTTAAATGAGCAAAAACTGTCCCCTCTTCTCACCACTATTATTCTAAATAAGCTTTCCACTTTAAATCAACTAAATTCTAAAAGGGGGAAAATTTGTCACCATTAAGTATATTTAAAAAGTGAATATAGCCCCAGTTGGCTTGGCTCAGTGGATGGACCGAAGGGTCCCAGGTTCGATTCCGGCCGAGGGCTCGTGCCTGGGTTGTGGGCTCGTTTCCCAGTGGGGGGTGTGCAGGAGGCGGCCAGTCAATGATTCTCTCTCATCACTGATGTTTCTATCTCTCTCCTTCTCCCTTCCTCTCTGAAATCAATAAAGAAATATATTTTTTAAAAAAAGTGAATATATATTCAGACACGAATTTGAAAACTGGAGTTTTAAAAATGTTTTGCTTAAAAGCTGTATCATTGGAATTAGTGGGAAACCTTAACTTACTTTTTTTTTATATATTTTATTGATCTTTTACAGAGAGAAAGGGAGAGAGATAGAGAGTTAGAAACATCGATGAGAGAGAAACATTGATCAGCTGCCTCCTGCACATCTCCCACTGGGGATGTGCCCGCAACCCAGGTACATGCCCTTGACCGGAATCGAACCTGGGACCCTTCAGTCCGCAGTCCTACGCTCTATCCACTGAGCCAAACCGGTTTCGGCCCTTAACTTATTTTGAGGCTATAACAGAGTTTATGGTTAGATTAGTCTTACAGTCATTATCTTACAACTCTTTTAATATCTCAAAAAACAGATGAGAAGCTTTGAGTGCCAGCAAAGCCATTTTGTCATTCCATAAATCAACATTAAACCTAACATTCCATCCCTCTATCTGTAAAACTTTCACATTTTTCTTTTCTCATATTTCTTTTAAATACAATTCTTCTCTGCTAGTCTATATGCAATAAGGGCAAAAGTGCATCAAATCCCTGATCTAGTGATATTTTTACATTTGTGGCACCCATCACACCGTTAAGTACATATTTAGTAATATCTCATAATACCTATTTAAATTCTGGGATTTACTTTTTCAGCTATTCTAAAGATTGGATATCTTGGATTGGATAGTACAATTTCAATTAAATATTACCATTAAAAAATTAATGCAAACTTATATAAAAGATTAACTTACTTTGTAGTTCCCTTCATTATTTCAAACTGAGCTTTTCAGAAAATGGTTTAAAGTGAAAAAGTTCTACTTTCCACAAATTTGAATTTTAACAGGTGCACTATACTTTCAAATCCCACTGCTGTCGTCTAACACTTAACCAAGTTAGATGTTGCTTATATTCCCTTTTGCTTCTAAAAAACCTTGCTCATTTCCATGCAAGGAAGGCATATATTAAAACTGCATATTAACTTCAACTTATAGAAAAAACGTTTGAGAATAATGAATGTGAGCAAATTTAAAAAATGGAATGGAATCATTTGGTCCCATGAAGTTCCTTGATTTTTAGAACTTATGGCATAACTGTTCATATCTCCCAAGTTTTATCTATAATGATAAATAATTTTCTCTTAAAAATTCTGAATTTGGGGAATAAGAAAGGAAGTGACTTATGAACAGTAGCCTTGTTGCTTTTCATTGCCGTGCTATCACTCACACTGTCATCAATATCTTAGCTATACTTTCTTTGGACCCTGAATTAAGTTGAAAAATTCATCACTGGTACTTTAGAGTTTAACATTTGGAACACAAAGAGGTGGTTTTGCGTAACCATAGCTGGAATTCCAGTTTACCATTAAAAACATGCGGAGTGAAGAAGATTTTCTTCTTTTGATTCCTGTATATGAGGAGTCTATGTAAGTTTTTTACATTCTGGCAGGTTTGTGCATATAAAATAGGCTACTTGGATTATAAATTTTCTCCTGGCTGGTACTGTGGCTCGGTAGCAGTGAAGTAGTCCTCCAAGAAGGATTGGATATATTCAAATGTTGGCCTTTCATCAGGGTCCTTCTTCCAACAAAGATTCATTAAATCATGTAGAGATTCTGGACAGCCCTGAGGGCAAGGCATCCTATATCCTCGTTCCACCTGTTCCAGCACTTCACGGTTTACCATACCTAACACACAAGATTCAAACATTAAAAACCAATGATGCCTTATAAGCATGAACAGACTGTTGAACCTAAGAGGGAAGGCAGGGGAGGGTGGGTGGGAAGAGATCAGCCACTGAACATTTATGCATATATGCATAATCCGTGGACACAGACAATGGGATGGTGAGGGCCTGGGGGGATGGGAGAAGGACAGAATCAGCCTGGAAGAGGTTAATGGGTTGGAAAGGACAACCTATGTAATACTTTCAACGATAAAGATTTTTTTAAAAAAGAAAAAAGACACAGATAATAGTGTGGTAAACGTGAGGCTAGAAAGGGTCAATAAGGGAAAGAAAGGGACATCTCTAATACTTTCAACAATAAAGATAAATTAGAAGAAAAAGCTCTGGCCAGTTTGCTCGGTGGATAGAGCGTCGGCCTGCAGACTGAAGGGTCCTGGGTTCCATTCCAGTCAAGAACACATGCCCAGGTTTTAGGCTTGATCCCCAGTAGGGGGTGTGCAGGAGCCAACCAATCGATGATTCTCTCTCATCATTAATGTTTCTATCCCTCCCTCCCTCTCTGAAATCAAT